GCTGAGATAGCTCCGCTGTTAGCAATGCACATTTCAATTAAAGAACTGAAGACATCATTAGAAAATGAACAATATGTATAGTATCAAAGCAATTGGACTTGCGGTTTTTTAACAAGAAGTCGAAAATATCACTTTTTACCAAAAATGATAAAAATATTCACCAAAATTAGAGAATTGAAGATATCATTACAAAATGAACAAATCTGAGAGAGGTCTACCCAAGGTACATATACACCAAGTATCAAAGCATTCAGGCTTGTAGTTTTCAAGAAGAAGTCGAAAAAGTAAAACATTGACACGGACGACAGACAATCACTCATATGATAAGCTCCGCTCGACAAAGTCGACAGCGGAGCTAAAAATAAAGAATTAAAGATATCATAATGAAATTAGCAATTCTGACAGGTCCACCCAAGGTACTTGTATACTAAATATCAAAGCAATTACGCTGGTAGTTTTCACAAAGAAGTTGAAATGCAAGTGTTGATGGAAGATAGACAATCGCCTACAGTACATCTACAATGACAGCAGAGCTCATAATATACACACATGAACTAGCAAAAAGTACTATGTCAAAGTGCAGAACACAGGCTTTTAGCCAGCCACCTATCTGCCTGTCATTTTATACAGGCACACCACATATTAGAAGAGTACAACATTTTATTAAAAAGACAAAATCTTTATAAACCTGTCCAATTTTCAGTTAAAAAAAAAATCGCTTGTAAATTTCATAATAACCATAACTGATCGTCAAGTCTATGGGTACACTCCAGAAATTGGGATTTTTTAGATGAGCACTTTCTATTTTTTGGCCATCAAACTGGCCTAATGTTTTGGTTGTCTATTGTTTTATCTTCTTGGTTTTTTTTCTATTTACAAATTATGAGTTGTCATTCATCAAATAAATATGAAACAATGGGACAACCACAAAAATAAATACAGTAATCACATTACATTGTCTAGTGTACTAAGACTATGATATACTGTAGAATACTTTATTATCGTTTGGAATTTATTTCCGCTATTTTCGCTGAAGGGATGATTCCATGAAAATAAAATCCAGCGAATATACCTTTTTTCCTATATTTCACATTAAACTCATTAAAAAAAAAAAAAAAATCAGTGAAAATAAATTCCATACAAAACACCCAAAAAACCTTTTCAGTGAAAATTAATTCCAGCAAAAATAAATGATTCCACAGTACTGCAAATTAGTTCATGAAGAAAATTGCATGAATAACATGTAGTGGCGCTATTCCTTGTTTTAATCAATGGTGATATTTTTCATCAAGTTGTTTGACACATTGCTCACATATGAGCAAGTTTTTGGTTTTTATTTTGCCACACCTCTCCTCTAGGCACGTTATGCAAGACTTACTTTATTTTGTACGGCAGCTGATACTGGTGTACTTCCAAGTGAAGCAACGCTGGAGCCTGAAGTCAAACATTTCATATATACTACCAGCATCTCTAAATCAGACAGTTTGATAACAGCAGCAACTGAAGGAAAGGCCAGATGTAAACTCTGTAAAGAAAATATAGATAATAGATGATTTATTGGTTTCAAGAGTGCCTGACATGTTTGATTATATTAGAAACGCTGCAAGGTAGTTTAAAACTTTTTATGACAGCATTTTGATTGGTTAACGATAGATGCAACCTGTTAGGTAAAAGCAAGTTGTTTTTGGTCAAATTATGATGAAAAACATGGCGGAATTTGCTTTGAATCTAGAGTTTGCGAGCAATCGAAAACATTCCACAACGAAGAAATTTGATAAACATTGTGCCTTCGTCTGTTTCCCACAGACCCAACCCATTTTTGGACAATAAAATCAGATGGTATGTAAACCGTATTGTAATAAAATGTGTGTATTTTTATGAACACGTTTGTTTCTCCATTGTAGAAAGTGTCTCACCCTGTATTTTGCAGGCCCCTGGGCTTATGATCAGGGAAGTGTGATATACATTTAAACAAATGACTTACCGAATCTTGCGAGTCTTTCTTGATTAGAAAACTGATATTATAAAAGATATTCTGTACAAAACACATAGCTTGTTTAGTTGATAGTACTGGTAACACACGGGAGATCAGTTTTCGACCTTTAGACACTGATAACACTTGAAGAAATCTATTATCAGAGCTACGAAAAAAAACAAAGAAATTATTGGATAGTATAATTTTAGCATGCATTATCTAGTATTTGGCAAATGTAATATTGAATATAGGATTTCAGTTGTAAATACAAAGAGAAAACAAGTTTGAAGATAAACTGTACAAAGTGGTGGGATCTCTGAAGGGCATGTACACTTAACTTGGGAGATTTCTTGTATATTTATCATTTCTTGATCTGTTTTGAGAGCAAAACATTTAAATTGACAGTGGTTCCATTCCAAGTTTGGAAAGTAAGGTAGTACACAAAAGCGAAGAACATGTTACAGCAAGTGTATTTTAGCCTGATTGGTTATTTCACCAGTGTATAATGTACTGTAGAATACTTCATTTGCTCTTGGAATTTATTTTTGCTATTTTCGCTGTAGGGACGATTCCGTGAAAATGAAATCCAGCAAATATAATTTTTTCCTATATTTCACATTGAAGTCATCAAAAATCAGTAAAAATAAATTCCTTTTCAGCGAAAATTGATTCCAGCGAAAATAAAGTATTTCACAGTATGTAAAATATAGTTACATTATGCAAGCCAAAACATTCTAAATGATGAGGCCTTTACTGCAAGAATTCTGTAGTGACATGATATTTAATACAGAATCAAGGAATATGGAAAAGCAGAAATTACACGAACAATCATTTTTGTCTCCTGTACCAAGTGTTTTGTAAGGTACTTTGGTTTTGATGAAGATATTCCTATATTAACCCTTTGCACACCATAGATACTTTTTGTTGCAACAATGTTGCAGGGCCCATTACTAATTTGCATATTTGTACTCCCATTACCCAAAACTTTTTACCAATTCAGTGTGAGCCAGGTAGGTTGACATGTACACAGGGAAAAGAAGACTAGGACACTGTAGTTTCATTTCATTTAAAAAAAAAAAAACATTTTATTTACAATTCACTTGGTTTCTAATTTATGATAACACCGAAATAGGCACTCATTTCATCTCTGTCCGTTTCATACCAATGCCGGTCTACGCGCCCGGTAACTTCCTGTCTATGTCTAGCCATGGAACTATAAACCATGGTCTAGCGTATTTATTTGTTTCCCCGACCAACAAATCCAAAAAAATCGTCCGTAAAATATAATTTTAAAAAAAAATCCAGTGGTTCCCCGTCGAAACCAACACCATGTCTTGGTCCTGAAAACTGGTCGTCATGTGCTGGAATGTTCACGTCGGTCCTTTCATTTGACCAGATGTTTGGTGTATTGGCGATGTCATCGGCATCAGAGTCCGAGTCACTGTCGGCATCGGCATTCAGCAAGTCATTAGGATCGATGTCACTGCCACTGCCACAGTTGGTATTTTGGCATAGCATAGCAATTCACATCTCAGTCTCCCTTCGTCTATTTCTTCCACTGTAAAGCCTTCAAACTCAGTGTCTGTATCAGACTCATCGAAAAATCTCGAAAAATTGCGTCACGATCAGTTTGCGATGACAGCTCCGAGTCGGCCGGTTGTTGTTGCATCCCGGTACTGGGGCCCGCAGTCTGCTGTTCGCTCACAGTTTGGAAATTCATCACCGAGTTAAAACTTAAAACGTATCACACAAATAGTTGTGAATAATTGCATAAAAAATCCAAAATTACTCGACAGGAATTTAATTCGTTCGATTACAAGTCAGCTGTGTTTACAAACAAATGCAAATACGCAGTGGAGGTCAACTGAATGATCGTGTCTGTCAACCACTGAAAAACCTTGCATATTCCCGCCACAGTCAAATTAGAATGTAATTTACAGGAATATACATATGGAACAGTAGGGCGGGAATTACCGGGGCAACGACACAGTGATCGTGTTTAAATATTCAAACCAACGGTAATTGATGACAGTGTCGTTTGGCCTACAGAGGTCATTGGATATTCCTGTTTAAAACCCCCATTTTAAAGCGATATTTGAACACTGTGAATGAAAAAAATACATGGATATCCAGTGGAAATACAACAGAGGCGAAATAAGGACTTGCAGTGAAAAATAGCAACGAAACTGGGATGCCTTTTTTACGGAACCAGCGACTACGGCAATTTTCACGTGTTGACCTC